ATTTCTATCTGTAGATTTAGAATCATTTCTAATTTTTCATTTATTTTGTCATTTTGTTCTTGTATTTTCTTCCAAAATTCTTCTTGGGTTTTGTCTGTGTTTTCCTTGGTATGTCTCTCAATCCTTTGAAGATACCTAAGTATAATTCTTTTGAATTCCTAATTGGGGAGTTCCAATGCTGCGTCTTCCTCAGGTTTTGGGTCTGTATCCTGGTCCCTTGTTTCTCCTGCTTTATCTTGCTTCTTTGTGTGGACTGTGATTGTGTTAGACTGGGTTCTCTAGAGAAACAAAAACCAGTAAAGCTTATATATATGTATATATACAGAGAAATTTATCTTAGGAAAATGGCTCACACACTTATAGAAGCTGGCAAGTCCAAAGTTCCTGGATCAAACATCAAGCTGGAGGCTTTTCCTGGCTCTTGCAACCGCAGGGGCTGAGGAGCTCAAGGCTGGCAGGCAGTACACTGGCTGTTGACTCCAGCGAATGACGAATCCAAGATCTCCAGGCCGAATGGTGGACTGTTCATTCATGGACAGTTGTAGGCAGCACAACAGAATCCCGATCCACAGAAGAATGTCTCTTTTCCCAGGATGTCCTCGGATATACTGGAAGCAGGCCACACCCGTAGGGAAACTCCCTTTCAACAGATTGGCCTCTCAGAACATAGTCATCTGATCCCATCATGGGAACAACCACACCACAACAGCTCAAACCACACAGAATTGTGCTCCAGCCAAGTTGACACACAGCTCCAGCTATCACAGTGATGCTCTGTTGTCTCCAAGCATTGTTTTGTTTTTGTGTTTATATTTCATTTGTGATTATATTTTGGAGTGACTTGCCCACAATTTTTGTTTTCTTGGCTTTGTTTGTATGTTATCTATACAGTCAGGGTACTGTGCTGTGCTCCTCTATTCACTAGCAGACAGCACTTTTACACTCACCACCTGTCTCCTTTCCTGTTGTCAGCCTCTTGTATGTCCCTGCCAACCTTGGCAAGCAGAGCCTGTTCTTAGATCCGTGGAATCTGAATGAGAATGCTATCACTTTAAAATTCAAAGTGGTTGCCACTTGTAAAGATTAAAAGTGGCTTCACCCTCGGTCACTTTAAATATCCAAAATGGCCACTGCTTGTAAACATTCAGAATGGCTTCACCCTTCAGACAGCGGAAAGTCAACAGCTTGGGTTGTCTCCCTCCTTGCTGTTTCCCTTCCTAGTCATAGGCCACCAGCGCAGTCATCCTGCAGGCCTTGGTGACCGCGACTGATCTTTAGGTCAATTCTCAGGTCCCAACACCACTTGGAAATACTCAGGCTGTTGGTCCCGTCAGAGTAGCTGATAGTCCGCAGCTCTGACCATGTCTGTACTCACTGTTTTCGTTCAGTTTTTCCCACTGGTTGGTGCCTAACCCACTTCTGTGTAGTTCCTTTCAAAGCTCAGGGCTCCAGGATTATCTTCTGTATCTCTGTCCATTGGCTTTTCTTTTCTTTGTTGAAGACGGCCTGTGTCGCTTGTCTGCCTACTCCTCCATCTTACCACAGAACGTTTCTTTTTTTTTTTCCTCTCCAACCTTTTTACAAATTCTGACACCATCTATCCCTCCTAGGCACTCTCTACTTATCAGCTCGGTTCAGTAATTCATTGCAGTGGCCACGCAGAACTCACAGACCACACTCACAGTCATGAGGCTTATTAAGGAGGAAGTTATAGGTTATAATTCAGGATCAGAAATGACTCAGGATTTACAGTTCTCCATCAGAACACCCGCTTCTCAACCAGGCCAGCAGGCAGGGCTCCCTCTCTGGCCCCCAGCTAGACATCTGCTCTACTGGAGGAGTGTTACAAAGTTCTTTAGTTCTACTTGACAATGAATTTTTCGTAAACGCGTCTCGGCACACAGAATTTGCCATTCCAACCATTTTTAAGTGACATAATTACGTTCACCGTGTGGTGCATCCATCCCCACTATTTCCAGAACTTTCTCACCCGCCCTGAACCCATTAGCAGTAACTCTGTGCCCTGCCCTCTGTAGCCTTTTACATAGTCCCTGTCTCTATATTGCTGGCTGTTTCAGTAAGAGGTTAAGACGGTATTTGTAAAGTGGGGTTCCTCCCAGGCTGAAGCCCATTCACCCCAGTTTTCTGGACTCAGAGTCTAGCAGGTGCAGCTGAGTGAGTATGCGTGTGGGGGTCCACCTTCTTCCAGTCCCCCTACTGTTGGCAGGTGCCAGAAAGGACCATTAGGGTCTCTGAGTATAAGCCTTCAGCCACAGTGAGGCAGGGGGCTGTGGAGGCGTGGGGACACCACTTAGCAGTTGCGTGACTTCAGGCTGGTGACCTGGCCTCAATGCCTGCACCCGAAATTGGGGACAAGACATCCCCACCCCTCACTCGTGGGGTACAGATTAGAAAATGCCACCTCAGTGGGAGCCGCCTCCTGTGACGTTCTGTTGCTCCCCAGCCCTTTAGAGCACCCAGGGCCGTTTCTTCTCCCAGTGACCCCTCCAGGGGCCACCCACCTCCTTGCATTACCAGCCACGACGGGAGCTCACCATGGGTTCCGAGGGCTGGCGTGATGAATTACCACACACTGGGCGGCTGAAAACGACAGACATGTGTCCTCTCACAGTTCTGGAGCACACAGCCCGGCTTGTCACGGGGCTGGTTCCATCTGGAGGCTTTGGGGGGCATCTGTCCCGGGCCTGTCTTGGCTCCTAGGGGCTGTGCCGTCCTTGATGCCCTGGGGTCACAGAAGCATCACTCCCCTCTCCCCTCTCATGGCCTCCCCTTGATTGTGTCCTTCTCATCTTTTGCCAGGGCCTCTGTCAGGTTGAGGGCCCCCCGTCCTGGCCAAGCTCATCGCCAGTGGCATCTCTCTTCAAGGCCCCCTTTTCCAAACAGGTCCCATTCACAGGCTTTGGGGTTAGCCTGCAGTTTGGGGAGCCAGTTTGCTCTGGTGGCGCAGTGCCTAAGGCATTTGACTGCTAACCAGAAAGTTGGTGGTTCAAACCCACTAGCCACTCCTCAGAAGGAAGACTGGGCAATCTGTTTCCATAAAGATTTACTGCCTCGGAAACCCAAAGGGGGTCGCTGTGAGTCGGAATCGACTCAGTGGCAGCGAGTTTGTTTTTTTTTGGGGTTAGCTCCAGCCTCCAACCACCAGGAAGGCCCTCCTCAGGCTGAGCTCTGCTCCCTACAGGGGCACCCAGGGGTCTCCCAGAAAAATCCCAGCCCCCCCAAGGCTGTGTTGTGTCAGTCCCTCACGTGAGGCTAGACTGCATATCTTCACTTGTGTCTAGCATGTGTGGGGCCTCAGTGTGTCGTGACCAAGGGGAGGGGGAGCGGCCTCAGTTTCCCCATAGGTGAAGTGGGGACAGTTTGGCTGACAGGCCCCTCTAGGGGTGAACACGTCACCTGCAGTGGGTGGGGCCTGCCATCTCATAGGTGGTGACTGTCATGGTCATGGCAGGGAGCTCACTTCTCTTTTCTTGAGTTCCGCAGCCATTCCTACAGGGCAGAGACCTGAGACCCCTGGCTGGGCTTGGGCCCTGGGACGCAGGGCTGTTAGGGGCCGGCGCAGGGCTGTTAGGGGTCGCCCAGGACTTGACGCAGCCAGAGTTGAAACTTCTAAAGGAGGACTAGTGAGGGGGCAGAGGGGAGTCGGGGCAAGGCGAGGGAGCGCGAGGCGGAGGGTCCTCCCCTTGGAAGGTCCTGCCCACGGAGGGTCCTCCCCGGCCCCCACCCTGCTGGGCCACTCCCGGCTGAAGTAGCAGCGGCCACAGGAACAGGCCAGTGACTGTGGCTGGTCCGCGAGGTCGTGATGGCCAGTTTGCAAGGGCTGCTGTGGAGGCGGGGAAACTGCCTGAGGGGACCAAGGCGACTCGTAGGAAGGACCCCGGGGTTGCGTGAGACCAGAAGCCCGAGAGGCCGGAAGGACGCGGGGCGGCGGGGGCTGTGGAGGTGCCTCCTTGTTGCGGGCGGCTGACGCGAGGCCAGAAGTCCCAGGTTGGGCAAGACTGGAAAGGAAGGTGTCTGCGGGAGGCAGGCAGGAGGCCGCCCTGGAGGCGGTGGCTCCCGGGCAGGGCCCGCCCCTTCCCCCGAGAGACCAGAGACCTGGACTAGTGCAGGGATACAGACGGGCGGGGAGAGGAAAGGGGCAGGGGACAGAACCACGACGGGACGGGCTGGCAGCCCTACAGCCCCGGCTGGACCAGGGAGGTAGCCTGCCGGAGGGGCTTGCTCCCGGCTCTGCCGTCCCTTCTCGGATCTGGTTCTGCTGCGGCCTCTCCCTCCTTCCTGTGAAATGGGTGGCCCTTCTGTGCGTGCACCCCAGCTCGGGGTCAGTGGGCACGTGAACAGGAGGGCGGGCGTCCACCAGAATTGGGGTGTGCACAGTGGGGGAGTGTGTCCACCACAGGCCTGGTCTTCACCATAACCCGTGCCTAAGGGACACACTCAGATGGCCACTCGTTAATTAAGAAGGAACTGCTTCCAAGGGCACCTTGGGTCTAGGAGCAACCATGGCAGAGGTGGCAGGGTGGCTTTCCCCAGGGGAGGGTGGTGTGACCCTCAGAGTCCAGGAAATGACCTGTCCTTTGTAAAGGCCTTGGGGGGAAGGGGCGGGGCCTGCCCAGTGGGCGGGGTTGTGAGGCTCAGGGAGCGGCTCTGACTGTTGAGAACAGGGTTTCCTGGGCTGGGGACCCCTTCAAGCAGAAGTGACCTTGACTCAGTTGTGCTCACAACTTGGGCGCTAACAGCTCAGCCCGTGCTCCCTGCAGGTCACGCCTGGGCCTGCCTGGAATGTTGTTTTCATTAGACCTGCTGGGGTGTGGCTGGCGCTTCTCCCAGGACAGGTGCCCATGTGGAGTTCAAACCTCCGGAGGGGCCCACGGGCACCTTCGAGGTCACCTGCTCTGGTGGGTGACAACCGTGGCCTCCTGACACTAGCTTAGGGCCACTGTCTCAGCAGCCAGGGGCCGGTTGGCATTGGCCTCCTGCTGGTCAGAGGGGAGTGTCTGGGTCATGCCCAGCTTCATGGAGAAGTGGGCATGAACTTAGTGGGCTTAGCATGGCCTTGTCTTGCTGAGCAGCTGGGGGTGGCCATCACACCCCAAATTCTGAAGGTGGACTGCTGTCTGGGGTTTGCCATCAAGAACACCGAGGACAGTGGTGGTAAAAGCCGTGGGGCGTTGGGGGCCTCCTTCCACGTCTCTGCTCACAGCAGCCAGGACCCCGACTCCACAGCCTCTTGGGGCTCACTCCCCACTGTGTCAGGGTGGCAAGTGTGCTCTGGGCCAGGGTGTCACGCTGACACGTGTCCAGGTGGGAGCAGGCTGTGCGTGGGGAGGCAGGCCTGAGCCCGACAGACGTGTATGGGCAGTGGTGGGCCTCCGGCCCCAGCAGGTGAGGGGCCGCAGCTGCCCCCAGGGCTGGGCACCGGAGGGGGGCTCCCGCGACAGCATGGGAGGGGCGCGAGGGGCAGCCACCAGCTCTGAGGAGGGGAGGGCTCCCGCACACATCACCGGGAGGCCAAGCCAACTGCTTATCAAAATATTTTATTTAGGAGACCCCTCAAAAAAAGACCCTCCACATTAGACAGACGCCCCACAATGCCCTTGGCCTTACTTTTTTGGTCTTTTCTGTATTATTTTTTGTTTTGAATCAACTAAAACAATTTGATGCTTAAAATAAGACAGGAAATCTATCTCCCAGTCAGACTTCGTCAAGAATATATATATATATATTTCTCTGACCCTGGGAATGGGTGAAGGGGAGCATTGCAGTAGTTCACGAAGCGTCCGGATTTCTGGGGACACAGTGAGGAGAAGGGTGCCACGAGGACACGGAGCACACGCCAAGGCTGACGAGAACGCGCCCCTTGACACGGGCGACGGTGGCAAAGGAAAAATGGGGGTGTGGGGGAAATGTAGCCGGCGGGGTGGGTGCGCCAGCTGGGGACTCAGAATTCCCATGAGCTGTGCTGTGGTGCCTGGGTGTCCGTCGCCCGTCTCCTGGGGGCCTCCGCTCGGGGAATGCACCCGTCCAGTGGGGAGGCAGCTAGGGCTCAGCACCGCCTTCGGTAGCTGCGCGGCTTCTTCTCCAGCTGAGAAACTTTTTTTTTCCTTTTTGAATTTTTAAAAAGAATCGCAGCCAAAATAAGAGATTAACTGCAAAATCCAAACGGCTGCGCGCACCTGTTTATAAAAACTTGGAAGTCTCTGCCCGGGCTACGAGCTACACCTTGCCGGGGATCTTGGCCCGCTTGCGGGCGATGGCGTCCTCCACAGCCTTGAGCTGCTTCAGGAGCTCCTCGCGCCTCGACAGGGTGCTGGCCTTCCCGGCCTTGGTGCTGGGGGTGGCGCTGGCTGCGCTGGCGTCCGCAGCCTTGCCAGGCACACTGGTGACTCTGCTGGAGCCCCGGGACTGGGGTGACAGCTGGCGCTTCCTGGGGGGGAAGGGACAACCGTGTGTTGGGGGCTTCAGTCCAGGCAGTAACGCGCCCTTTGACCCTGAGTGTCCCACAAGGGTCGCAGGGGTGGCGGTCTCAGTCTGTGGTCCTTCCGGCCCTGCACCGGCACTGCTGACTGAGAAGAGGTGCTCCTGGGCCGGAGCCCCAATGGCAACACATTCTGCCCACAGCCGGCCCTCCCCCCCCCCTCCTGTGGAGGGAGCCCCCAGCTAAGCTCCAGCTCCAAGCAAGATGGGGAGCTGAGGGGAAGGGAAAATTCTGGACCAACCCCTCCTTTCTCATCCTTCTTTGGTGCCCCGTGACCAAGTCCCACCCCTCCACGCTGTGCAGTGGAGCCCGGGGTCACTGGTGGTGGTGGTAGGGCAGCTCTGGAAGGACTCCTGCCCCTCCCGTGTGCCCAGGCAGCAGGAGCGGACGGCTCTCCCCCTCAAGAGCCAGGCGCCCAGCAACTGCTGCCTGGGCACTCACCTGTCGGGCTGTGTGGCAGGGGCTTTGGGGTTCTGACTTCTCTGCCGCTCGGGCTTCGGGGAGCTGAGCCTGCCCCCTGACTTCCGGTCCCGGGAACCTGTGACGTGGAGAAAGGAGCAGTGTCCCTGAGCACAGACAGGTGACTGTCCTGGGCACTGGGGCCACCTGGTGAGAGGGACCAGTTAGTTGGCAGGAAGGGGCTGGCCTGGGCGCCCCAGGCACTCTGTGGGCCTTCAGCTATGGGAGGAGGGGCAGCCGACAGGCAGAGCTGAGAGGCCAGCACCATGCTGCTTCCTCCTCACGGCACCAGGGCACAGCCCGGGCACTGGGTCCTCTCTGCCCCTCGCAGGCCACCTACAGCCCAGGGCCTCTGCCTTACCTGTCACAGACCACCAGGACACTTGCCCCGAGTTTGGTCTGAGTGGTGGTTCCTAAAGTGTGGTGCAGGTGCCCAAGGTCCCTGAGTGTCACCTCCTAGTGACGCTCTGGCCCTGCTGCCCTCTCACCTCCCCTATCTCGTGAGCACACAGGGTGTCAGAGGCCATTGACACGAGATCCGCCGCACACAGAAGAGTAACAGCTTCTGTGAAGCCCGGCATGGAGGGGAACAGAAAAGAACACGCCGCTCTCCCTGCCCGCGTCCGCTTTGGAGGAAAGCTCTGCGGGGGCCCCAGGGCTCTCAGAGCAAACGGGCTTGAGCCTGGCCAGTGTGGGCACAGCAGGCCCTCCCCGAGCAGGCTGGGTGGCTCACCTCGGTCTGGGGACAGGTTGGCCCGCTTGGCTGGTGGACTCTGCCTGTCTTTGTCCGACGGGTCGTAGCGCTTCCTGCTGGCTTTATCAGTTGCCTGAAACAGTGACAGTGGCATGAGAGGACGCCAGAGGGTGGGCCTCACCCTGGGGTGGGTGAAGGCCCTGTCCTCACCCTCTGCCCATGTAGTGCACATGAGACCACCTGCTCCAGCCCCCACTGTGCCCCTAAGGTTGGCCCCATGCTCCTGCAGACGTCTGCCGTGAAAGCAGAGCCAGGAGGCACGTGCCAGCCACAGGGAGCAGCACCTCTGGTGAGTGTCTGCTCCCTGGGGGTGACATCCTCACTGCCTTATAAACTACCTTGAGATGTGGGAGGTCAAGGTGACCCTGACCCCGAGACACGTCCTGCATACTTGGGTATGGCTCAGAGCTGGTGGGAGTAGGGCCGGCACCTCGGGGACCCAGAAACATTGAGAGACTGCCTGCTTGGTGAGGCTAACAGTGTGAAGATCCCTTGCTTCAAGCCCTGACCTGGCAGGGTCTTGGGCACAACTGGGGGACAGGCAGAGTGAGCGCTCCAGGCTGGGGATGTTCCTACAACCCTGGGAAGCTGGGACTCCCCGCCCCCAATGGCAGTCTGCACCTCGAGCCTAGGACTAGCACACCCTGCTCCCTGCGGCAAGACAGCCTCAGACTCAGGACATGCCGGCCCAGATGCCCCGTGCGCCTGCACGCTGGAGGGGCCTGGACGCCCCGTGGGCCCGGACGCCGGAGGGGCCTGGACGCCAGAGGACCGGGACACCCCAAGGGCCCAAACGCTAGAGGACCTGGAACTGGAGGACCGGGACGCCCCGTGGGCCCGGACGCTGGAGGGACCTGGACGCTGGAGGAGGGACGCCCTGTGGGCCCAAACGCTGGAGGACCCGGACGCTTGAGGGTGTGCTGGGGGCCCGTGGACTCACCTTGTTGAGTAGCGTCAGCTTGATCTCCTTGTGGGTGATGAATGAGGCCTGAGGGGGCTGCCCAGGCGGTGCCTGCTGAGGGGTGGAGGGCTGCTGTGACTGTCTGCCTGCCGAGGGCTTGGTGGCCTTGGCGGTCTGGGCGGACAAGTCTCTCTTCCGCTTCTCCTCTCTAGCACTGTCGTCCTTTTTGGGTTTTCCTGCTAAGACAGGTCCTCAGTCACCAGCTGCAGTGTGGTGCCTCAGCAGTCCCAAGCCGGGTGTCCTTCACCCCTGCCAACAGCGCCTAGCCCGTCTGGCTCGTGCACCTGTCCCTAGCCGTTCCAGGAACGGTTCCTCCGCCAACGGCCAGCCCTCCCCTGCTGCTGTGAAGGCCCAGCGCCGGCCGTGTACCTTTCTCCTTCTTCGTCTGGGCAGGGGTGGGGGAGCGTGAGCTGGCCGAGGAGACGGGGCTGGCCAGGTCGGCGTACATGTCTTCCGAGTCCACGCTGTGCACAGAGCTGCTGCTAGACGTGACGCTGGACACGGAGGAGACGCTGCTCACGCTCAGGGACCTGTGGGCAGCACAGGGTGCTGTCAGAGCTGTTGCAGCGCATGGGCAGCCCCCCGCCCACCAAGCCCCTGGTTCAGTGGTCGCCACGGTGAGGATTCCACTCCCTCATCGAGGGACACAATGGTTGCTGGGAAGGGAACGATGACTGAACATGACTGAACAGCCAGTGACGACAAAATCCAATCAGATGAGTCCTAGTTAAACACAGGACACAGAAGCCCTCAAAGTTCCCCTACAGTGAGGTTAATTAACGCAGACAGCAGGCCTGACTCTAGCTCAAAGGGCACCTTCTGAAAAGGCGGGAACGACACCTGGAGGTGACACGCCCGTGGGCTTTGTGTGCTCCCGTGCAGACAGATGTTGGTGCTGCAGTGGTGGCCGCTGCGCTCACTCTGAACCACATGTTCCCTGTTCTGGAGAAAAGACTCCTTCAACCTGGGCAGGTGGAGCATGGAGGGGCAGGAAGGAGAAGCGGCCAGGCTCTCCCTAAAGCTCAGGCCTTTCCACCCTGGAGCAAACCCGCAAACCATGTGCCCGGCTCTTAGGAAAGTTCCCGTCAACGTAAGCACCGGCCTCCATGTCTTTCAACTGAGCAGCAGAATTCCTTCTGTTCTTCCCCTCAGATCTCAGAATGTGAAGGTCCTGCTCTGGGGGCCTCTCCTTCCATCTGGGGGCTCCTGAGACGGCCTGTCCTGCATCCCAAGTTGCTGCCTGATGCCCCGGGGTTGCAGGTGCCCGCGTCCCCTCCTGGACACCCCGGGGAGCCCGTGCACCACTCCTGGAGGCTGTGGGGCTGCTGGGACTCCATGCCGCCTGGCTGGTGTCCAGGGCTGCTTCCTCTGTGGGAGCAGGCAAGGGTGGTCCTGTGACCACTGCCCTCAAGGGGCCTCCAGGCAGCCCCCAGCTGCCTCCGTCTTATTGGGCTCTTGTGGGGCGCAGAGGCACACGGGACCCCCAGGAAGGCAAAGGCTCCGCTGCCACCGGAGCAGCCTCGGCCCGCGGCTGGGCGCCTCCCTGTTGTGTGTGTAGGTCACTCTCCCTCCCCTTCTGATTGAAGGGGGACAGCTGTCCTTTGGGGTGAGGCTCAGCCTCCCTCTGGCGTCAGACCATAGGCTCTGCCTGAGAAAGGTGGGAGGAGCTCCGATCTGGTGACCAGGAGAGGTGGGGCCCGAAGGGGACCCCAACAATGCCCCAGATCTGGAGCTGCCCTGAGGGGGACCCCAACAGTGACCTGGATCTGGAGCTGGAGCCGCTGTAGCTGCTGCCGCTGCCGCTGCCACTGCCGCTGACCGTCCGCCTGCAACACACACGGGGCCGTCAGACAGGCCTCTGCCCACACGGTCCATGGAAAGCCTTAGCCTCAGAGGCAGACCCTCGCCCCAGTGTGATGCTAGAGAGCTGCCCTCCCACCAGGGCCCGCCGTGCCCTGGCCCTGCTCCCACAGGCCAGCCAGACCGGTAGGCACCTCACCCAGCTCCCCACCCCCCAGCCCGGCTCCAGGCTCTCCCGGCGCTCACTGTGCAGCCCCTGAAGAGGGCGCTCACCTTCTGGGGGGGGTCCTGGCCTGCCGCTCCTTCCTCCTCGCTTCCCGAGGGTCCCCCGGCTTGGTGAGCTCGGGCGCAGGAGCAGTGGCCTTGGTGGGCTGAGGCGGGACAGGCGGCGGGGCTGGCTTCTTCACCGTCTTCTCCCTGTGAGACAGGGGGGTCTGGACATGGCACACAGGCCCCAGGGCTGCCTCCCCAGCGCCAGACAGGGACCCAGCACCGTCCCTGCAAGGGTGCAGAAAGGCTGGTGCCCCCAAGCACTTCCACTTTATCTCACCCCTTCATCTTCATCCATTCTTCACACAATACCCCGAGGGGCTGGAGCTCAGAGGGTAGCCAGCTGGCTGGATGCACACAGGGGTGGGAGGCTGCCGCCCAGCCTGGCTCCCCATCACGACCCCTGTGGCTGCCCAGGGCTCCCACCTGCAGCCTCCAGGACACTGCCCCCCTTGATCAGAAGGATCCTACCCGAAAGGCAGGAGGCCCTGTGCAGGCCTGGGCCTTACCCTGTTTTACCGGGTGGTGGGGCTGTCTCCCCCTTGGTTCTGACGGTGGGTCGGTGTGGGGAAGGCGTTGGTGACGGTGATGGGGACGAGGAGAAGGACCGAGACCTGGGAGTGAGCAGAGGGGTGTGTGAGGCCACAGTGCTCTGAGCAGGCTCTGCCGAGGACGCCCTCATTCACAGAGACCACGCTGTGTGGCCTCCACCTGTGTGCTTTCTGGGTGGTTCTTTAAGGTTCAGCAAGGGCCCCTGAAGACTCTGGAGTGCAGGATGGGAGGGGCTCAGGGGACAGTGGCTCTACTGTGAAGTGTGCCTGGACAGCTGCAATCACAGACCCTCCGGCTGAGCTCAGGTACCTGAGTGGCAGGTGGAGCAGGAGAGGAGTCAATGGGCAGCACCCTGGGTTGGAGGGAGTCTGCAGGAGACCCAGTGGCATGCAGGGCGGGACGCCCCGGCCACCAGCACAGGCCCTTGCCCAGAAAGGAGGCCACAGCTGGAAGAGCAGGGCAAGCTCAGTTCCAAACCAAGGGGCAGGTGCGCCTGAGGGCAGCCGACGGCTGGGGTTGCCCAGTAAGCCGGGGTGACATGACCCCGCTAGCTCAAGGCTGGCCTGACAGTGCCTCCCTGATTAAAAGCTGTCACATGAGGGTCTCGACGCTTCCTGCTTAACAAAGATAAGAAGATGATCAAAAGATTAGGAGCAGGTAACCATACGGGCCACACAGAAGAAATTCCTACAGTGATAGTGGGGACAAAAGGAAAGGACTCCCAAGAAGGGTCAGGACAGTGGCCCTGGCCCACCTGACTGTGACATCTTCCTCCAAGCACCCAGGCCTCACAAGGTCACTACCCTCTGCCTCAGACAGAGCAGCCGAGGACCTGGTGCCTGGGCGCCCCCCCCACTGGCTGTCAGCAGCAGCACGGGCCTGAATGACAACTGCCCCCTCTAAGTCCCTCAGACCGAGTCAGGGAGTGGGTGGCGGGATGGGGAGTGTCCTGCTCAACAGTCAGCCATGTTCCTGAAGGCAAAGCCTAGGAGGATGGATGTAGCTCTGGGACGACAGATAAGCTCAGGCTGAAGCCGTAGACTCTGAGGCTGCTCAGAGGTGTTGGGGACACGGGCCTGGATCCGAATGCAGTTTACTCAGAAATGGCAGGGCCTGCAACCTCGCAGGAGGGCCCTTCTCTCTGATCACTGTCCGCAGTCTGCATAAGCCTCCATACTCCGGGCAGACAGACCCCACGTGATGCACCTATCTGCCCACCCACTGCACACATGCCCTTGACCGTCAGAGCGAATCTCAGTCCAGTGACGACCAGGTGCCTCTCTGACCCTTTATAAGTGTGGCCAGAAACCCACTGCTCAGCGGCTGGGTGCCTGCTAGGAAGGGCACCTCCTGTGTGGAGCAAACCCGAGGAGATGTTGGCGAGGACCAGTGGGGAGAATAACAGAGTGACAAGGCTTCCATGAGAAACAGGTGTGTGCATGTGTCTGCTCACCACTCCGTGACTGGGGTACTGGGGTGTGTGCGCGTGTGCCTGCTCACCGCCCCGTGAGTGGGGTACTAGGGTGTGTGTGTGCGTGTGCGTCTGCTCACCGCTCCGTGACTGGGGTACCGAGGTGTGTGTGTGCGTGTGTGCGGCTGCTCACTGCTCTGTGACTGGCGTACTGCTGTGCGTGCGTCTGCTCACCGCTCCGTGATTCCGTGACTGGGGTACTAGGCTGTGTGTGTGCGCGCGTCTGCTCACCGCCCCGTGACTGGGGTACCAAGGTGTGTGCGCGCGTGCGTGTGTCTGCTCACTGCTCTGTGACTGGGGTACTGCTATGTGTGTGTCTGCTCACCGCTCCGTGACTCCGGTACTAGGGTGTGTGTGTGCGTGTGTGCGGCTGCTCACTGCTCTGTGACTGGCGTACTGCCGTGCGTGCGTCTGCTCACCGCTCTGTGATTCCGTGACTGGGGTACTGGGCTGTGTGTGGGCATGCACGCGTCTGCTCACGGCTCCGTGACTCGGGTACTAGGGTGTGTGTGTGCGTGCGTGTGTGCATCTGCTCACCGCTCCGTGACTGGGGTACTGCTGTGCGTGCGCGTGTCTGCTCCCCGCCCCGTGACTGGGGTACTGGGGCGTGTGCATCTGCTCCCCGCTCCGTGACTGGGGTACTGCTATGCGTGCACGTGTCTGCTCCCCGCTCCGTGACTAGGGTACTGGGCTGTGTGCGTGCACGTGTGCCTGCTCCCCGCTCCGTGACTGGGGTACTGGGCTGTGTGTGCATGTGTGTGTGGGGGGGCCTCCTTACTGCTCAGTGAGTGGTGTGTTGGGGTGGATGTGTACAATCATGTCAGTGTCTGAATGTGTACCTGAACCTGTTAGTGGGCTCCTCACTGCTTGGTGACTGGTATACTCAGATGAGGATGCCGCCCATGGCTCTGGTGTCACTGGGGAGCTGTGTAGAACCCCGACCGTAGAGGGACAAAGGGACTGGGAGAGAGAGAAGCCCTTTAGAACTCGCCACCGGACACCCAGAAGGGCCTTCCAAGCGGAGCCCCAGCACGCAGGCAGGCAGACCCGAGGGCCTGGCTGCACCCAAACAGGCCCGAGTGCTGTCTGCGTCCTGTCCAGCGTGAAGGAGGCCCCTGACTGGCCCGCCCCATCCCTGAGCACCTGCCCCAGGGACGCACCTGGATCTGCTGCCTGAGAAGGAGCTGTGTCGGGACGAGCGGCTGGAGTAGGAGCTGTAAGATGACGACCGGGACCGGGACCGGGAGGAGCCGGAGCCCGAGTAGGAAGAGGACCGCGAGGACGACCTGGGTGAAGGAGGGCGGGCAGGTCAGGCGTAGTGGGACCTGGCTCTTGTGTTCTCACACACACACACCCCTCGGGCACCGTCCCTTGATGCCCCCACACATAGGGCATTTCCAAAGCCATGGCCAGTGAGGAGTAGCTCTGGAGCCCACCAGCCGCGTACCAGGCCTCTCGCGTGCACTCCTGCAGGGACAGAGGCTGCAGGATGTTTCTAGCATTTGGGCAGATCCGAGAGACCTGAGGTCTGTAAGTGGGGGACTGCTGCCCTCACTCCGACAAGCTTGGTCTCAGCCCTCACCCAGCTCCTCGTTGTTGACATCACAGAAGTTAGTGCTCCCCCAGCCAACTCACTGGATGCAGACCTGCCGCACCCCAAGGTGCTCCAGGAACCCGTGGTGGCCACCTTCTCCTCAGCTCCTTGTACCCTCCCCCAAGGCTCCCGACCCTGGCATCCTGGGGCTACTTGAAGTGGTTCACCCTCCTCAACGTGTAGCTTCGGAGACAGACTCAGCTCTGAGACTGCATCCTCAGGCACACGGACTGTGAGGGCGATGCCCTGTCCCCGGACGCACCCACCGCTCCGACTCTGCACCCCGCGGGCTCACTCCCCCCGCTCCTGTCCGCCTGCTCTGCTAGTGACCTGTGTTTGCATGGGCTCTAGGTGCCAGACCCGATGACTGTCACTGTGTAGGCTCACACTGCCGAATGCTGGGAGTCCCCGACACGCCCACCCTTTTGACCCGATTGTCAGGCACCGCAGGAGGTCCATCCCAGGCTCCCGCTGATGCTCCCGTCCTGGCAGCAACCGCTTGTTGGGGGGAGCCTGGTGGCTGCCTGGCTGCTGCTCCCAGTCCTCTCAGGGGACAGAGCCAGGGGACTGGGTGGGCGGCGCCTCATGTCCATGCTTACCTGCACTTCTGCGCCCACCCATCCAGTCTGAACCCGAATTCACACTGACACTGCAGGTCCAGTCAGTGCTGTGGGGCTGCCGGACCCCACCCCAACTCCTCGGCCGTGAGCCCCAGTTCTCCTTGGCCACACCCCAGGTGCACACACATAGGTGCAGAGTGCCGACCAACTCCCAGAGGCAGGCCTGTGACTCAGCGACAGGATGGACAAGCCACTGTTTTGGTCTTTCAGCCTCACGGTAAGTCAAATCACTGCTTCCAACATGCCCCTTCTTCCTGCTGCTCTGGGCAGCTGCCGGCCCCCAGTGTGACTCCTCACCCACTGTAATCGCTAACAGTGGGGTGTGTGACCCCTGCCCTCTCGGCAACACTCTCCCTTGGCCTTGACCCTCCAGCACCCGCAGCCACCCATCAGGCCGCAGGCCCACACCACCAGCACCCGTGGCCAAGTCTGACCGTGGATGGCCGGGCCTGGTCCCCACAGGGGCTCTCACCTGGAGGAGTTGGAGGCGGAGGCTGATGAGGCCGAAGTTTTTCGACGCCTTCGTGCCCGGCTCGGGGAGACTGACACTCCAAGTTTCTTCTTGGGAGACTTGGATCGGCGCCAAGGGTCCTTCCACTCATCTGCCCGCTTTACCTGTGGGCCTGCGGCAGTAGCCTCCTTCTTTGGGGGCTCAGCTTGCCGGCTGTGAAACAAGAGCAGACGTGTTAGTGCCTCCCAGCCTGGTCCCACACACTGCTGTCTGGTGACCATGACCATGGCGGTCATCGTCACTGGCTCATGGTGAGCTTTGTGCTCAGAAGATCTGAAAAGGAAGGTTGCATCCACGAGCCAGCAGACACCCCGGCCACAGACTCATCCTCCTGGTTGATGCTGAAGTGTGTCCCAAGAGCACCAAGAGAAAATCTCAGATCCCGTCAGCAGCCACGGAGTCCCCATGTCAGGATGGAGGCTGGCACGGCCAGTGCCACACCCTAAGCCCCAGGGGAGCCTGTACTGCTCGTGGGCACATGATGATGCCCAGGGAAATGGGTCAAGGCCCTAAGTGATAGCCCACCACCTTGAGATAGGGCTGCCAGCATGAGGTATGGAAGTGGAATGACAAGCCAAGCAAGAACACCAACCAAATACAAGACACCAAACCCAGGACCCCCACCAGACACAGCACACTGACCTACCCAGAACACCCACCAACACAGAACACCCCCCAAAGAGAAAAAGGCCCCGCGCTGCCTGTGCCGGTCCCTCGGACTGGGAGCGCTCACGCCCTCCTATGCTTACTGGCCACCTGCACCGTTGCAGCTCTCTGCTCCAGCCCTCTGTCCTGTTTCTGATAAGCTCTCTGTATATTAAGGATCGCAAGGCTCTGACTTTGCTATATTCTTCCCGGGCTGATAGCATTTTGAGATGCTGTTTGACATACACGGTTCAAGGTTTTCACGATCAAATCAATCTTCGATTCAGCAATTTGCACGTACTCTGCTTGATGTCATCGACTGCAATTCCCTCCTGTAACGTTCCTCCCACTGCCTCCCTGTGTTTCTGGTTTCCGTTCCCCTCCTCTCCTGTCGAACTTTGTCCTTGGGCAAACGGTGCCTTTTGATCTCAGATGGCTGGCTGTCATAAAGAGCGTGTAGCTTCCCAGAGTTACTGTTCACCTCAGAGAGCCATCTGTCTGGCTGAGAACTGAGCTATGGGATTGAGTTCGGTCCCAGGTACGAAGGGGGACCGAGGGCCACAGTCTGGGGGTTCTGCCAATCTCTGTATGGTCAGTGAGCCTGGTCTTAGTTCCGTATTTTTCTCCTCCTCTAGCCAGGGCCTTCCAAAAGGACCCTTTCAGAGCAGCTGGCAGGGCACCATCTTGTTCTTCTGGTGTCAGGGTATGTGGTCCGTGAGTCCTCAGGACTAGCGTTTTCCTGGCTCTTTTTCTCCACTCTGCTCTGGACGAGGATACCGCACGGGCTGCACCCTGGACGGCCCATCATGTTCCTTTTGTCTCCATTCCCGCCCCACCCTGTTCTTCTGGTGGAGCCGACGTTTCCTTTTTCTTAAACCTACCCTCCAGTCCGCTTGGCATCTGTTACTTAGTACATGGAGTGGGGGAGGCTCTCAGTCCCCCACTGCCAATGATCTCGGCTGTATCCCCAACAGCTGCTTTCCCTCCGGAGCCAGGGGTGCCACCCTCCCTCCCTCTGGGCACTGCTCACAGGATGGGCACCTGCAAACCTGCCAGTGCTCACCCTCGAACCCCATCTGGAAACCGGCTCACAGGCGTTGAGCCCCCACAACCCTGTTTCCACGATTCTGAGCTGTCACACCCACGTGCACCAGGAGATGTCTCTGCAGGCTTGCTGCGATGCTTCTTTCGTTACACCCGTTAACGTGAGAAAAAGAACGAACTTTCTGACACTGACACAGAGCCTTTCATGTAATAAACACAGGATCCTGCCCTTCATTCAGGTCTACTTTTTTTTTTGTCTGGAAAACTTTAAATTTTGAAGAATTTTCAACAACACACACACAACAGACAGCAGAAGATAATGGCGCTCCACGTGTCCACTGCATGGCCCCCATGACCATCACTCAACGCAGGGCCAGCTGCCCCTCACCCTCGCGTCACTCTGCGTTATCGGAAGGTAAATCTCAAACAGGTATCACTTTACCTACGACACATAATTCCAAAGAGTGAGGGTGGTTCTCTGCCAACACTACACTCACGCTACACCTAAAACAGCAGTACTAACCAACAGCTCCTTCCACCACGAAGGACACAGTGCGCCAACGGCCATTTGCTCTTTCAGGTCTACTTTCCAGGCAGAGGTCCAGGGCTCCCTCCATCAAAGGTCCAGCCTTTTCTTAGATGTCCCGTCACGTGTCATGACTATGGGATCCCTGCTGCCGCCACCGGGCTTTGCAGGCAGCTCCTCGTGAACCAGCCTCACGAATCCAGCCATGTCACAGGACAGTCTTTAAAACTGCCTTTTGCTACATGTCCAACTCCTGTGACTAGCATCCTGATGCTGGGGACTAGCAGCAACCCCAACACGTGAAGCCACCTTCAGGACCCACAGAAGCAAGGCTTCACGTCCCTGTTACCTCAGCCAGCGCCCCCAAGAGCCTGGCCACGTACACAGATCCTCCTGGGAGAAGTGTCCAGGAAGGAAGGGAAAGCCATGGGCAATCCTGGCCTTCTCACTGCTCTCACTCTCCACTTTCTGCAGAGCTCGTTCCCCACACCTGGCAGGACACCCAGCAGCTGGGTGCCGGGTTCTCAGGGGCGCCCCAACAGCCCACAGCCTGCTCACGCCAGAGGGGGTGGCCGTGCCCCGTGTGGATGGACCCACACCAGGCCTGACCGCTCTGCTGCAGCCATGGGGGAGGAGCAGAGGGGATCATGTGTCTCCTGACATCAGTGTGGAAAATGCAGTGGTTCTGGCTCCGGGAGGCTGGCCAGTCTAGGCGCCCCATCTCCGTCAACCCCGTCTAACCAGCATGCACTGTCATTCGCTCCTTTACCTGGCAGGATGGTGCCTGGCAGGTGTTGGGGCCACAGGTGGGCCTGGGACACCTCCCCTCAACCAACCGAGACCTGCACAGGCCTGGCCCACAGCTGGTTGGTGGCATACTGAGCAGGTCCACCTTCATGTCCAGTGACTCACTATAGCAAGTGATGCAGGGCTTGGTGAAAACGTCCTGTTAAAACGTATGTGAAACTACTACTGAAATAAATCACAGCAGAGATACTGAGTAGAGAACGCACCCAGGGAGGCTGCACAGGCAGACACGGCCCCTTAGTTTCTCTGCAGGCCGTCCGGGAACCTGGGCCCCAGCCTGGATCGCCGATTTAAGAGCAGAGGTTCTGGGAAGACTGGGTTGAGACCCCACCACGAAGCCCCACTTGGGACCAGTGTTCCATCTTGTATTGAGTCGGGCCGAAGAGGCAAGACTGAGGCAGACCGCAGCTCTAACAAAGCACCGCTGAGACGCACAAACGGGGGGGCGGGGCACTGCAGAAGCAGAATCCACACCAACGCTTCCAGAACCACACCCCGCAATCTGAGGGCAGTGACGTCCCCCCAGGTCCCCTCACACCTCTAGGGGGATCTTATCTCCCGGGCTGTGTGAGGCCACAAGAGACAGCAAGGGGCAAAGTTCATCTCAGGGCAAAGCAGACGGCAGAGCAAACAAGCGAAAGGGCTGGTCCACCATCACTCACTAACGTCACCGGCCACACAGGGACACGGCACGAACCACGCACAGCAACCCAGAGCGCCACACGAGGCTGGAAAGTCCGCGGGCTGCTGCCGCTCGAGCAGGGTCAGTGGCGGAAGAGGGTAAAGGCCAGCAGGGCTCTCCTCTGAAACCCAAAGGGTTAAACCACCACCAAGGACCAAGGCCAAGGGGAGCCGACCTTCCCACCAACGGCCCTGCTTAGACTGGTCCCAAGGGGCTCTGGGGGCGCAGTGCCTGAGGCATCTGACTGCTATCCAGAAGGCTGGTGCTTTAAACCCGCCAGCCAGTCCACGGAAGGAAGACCAGGCCACTCCTTCTGTACAGACTTACCGCCTCAGAAACCCAAAGGGGGTTGCTGAGTCGGAATCGACTTGACGGCTGCGAGTGTTTTTTTAATACTGGCTCTGGGGATATTGAGAAACTACCTTTCCTAAGCAGTTTCCTCCATCTTTCAACTTGTGAGCTCTCTGGAGATGAACAAAGGGCCTGGCATGCTGTGTGCCTCTCCGTAGTCCCCCACAGCCACCCTGAGACCCATCCCAGCTCCGGGCTGTGTACCTCCTCCCGCCTGGCTCCCATGTCACCGTTCCCTCCAAGGTGTACCTCACTGCTCCGATCGTAGCTGTTCTGCTCCAAAGCCAGAGGACTGACAAGTCGTGGCAGGCTTGTCCACGCAGCACCCTTCTCAGCTCTCTGCCAGTGAACCTCAGCCCCTCAGCCCCCCAGGAAAGCCCACGCTGCACAGCCTCCGCCCCCCCACAACTGCTTGGTCCTCTCTCAGGAGCTTGTGTACGAATGATGAAGACAGGCCAAGACACGACCTAGGCCTCCACCCTGCGCCCCGGAGCGGGCCTCACAGAGGGCCCTGGGTCACGCCAACCAAGCACGGTCCCAATCCTACCCAGCCGTGTGCTGGGCAGGACCCCAGAGCACCCCATGGCCGGCTGAGGGCCTGGCCGGCTGGTCTGAGGCCCCAGTGACTCCTGAGCAACAGGCAGGGCCGTGTGTCACTGCCCTTCCACAGGCGGAGTGGGCAAGGCAGGTGGTCGTTCCTCAAGTGGAGGCAGATCAGCGACACTCAGGGGACCCTAGCCTTGCAGCTTCTGACCCAGACTGTGAAGACGTGTCTGGGTTTCATCAGGAGTGAGTGCATCTGAGGAAAACGGAACTGGCGGCAATTCCCACACCCCCACCCCCATCCACGTAATTTCTGGCTGATTAACGAAAAGCTACCCCTTGAACTGCTCCGGGGGGGCAGGCGCTGTGGGGATGCCCCGCAGCTGCAGGCGGTGAGATCACCTGGGCCCTCGGAGCATCCCCCAGGCCTGCCCACCCCTGACACCTCACAGGAAATACAGAGCAACAGCTGTGGCACCACTGATCCAAACAGGACGTACCATGCTTGTCTCTAACTACAACACGTGTAACACACGTATGTACCTAAGATGTACAGCAGACAGACAACTTCTGCTGTAACTCACCAGCTAGGGTTTAAAAAAAACAACGCACATTTCCTCGGAAACGCGCCCGGCGTGTGCCTGTCACAGAGCCAAGAATGAAGCACCCGAGGGGCTGGGAGGGGAGGGCTCCGTCTTCAACAACGGACAGATGGCACCCGGCTCACGGCAGGCCCACAAGCACTGGGGAAATCTCCTTTTGAGCAACCTTGTGTCATCAGAAACCAGTGGGAACCTGATGCCAGCAGGGAATGGAGTGGGAGGCCCGACTGGCCCGCCCAGAGCGCTGGGGTTCCAGACAGGGCGGCTGCCCTGTGTCACACACATCCATGACCTGCTTACGGCTGTCCCATGTCACGCACGTCCATGACCTGCTGACGGCTGCCCCAAGCCACGTACCATAACCTGTGTATAGCTGTCTTGATCCACGTATATCTGTGACCTGCTTACGACCGTCCCATGTCACGCACGTCCATGACCGGCTGACGGCTGCCCTGGAGTGGACCTTAAGCACAGGCGTAAGCACACGCAGAGGTGAAGCACATGTCAGGCCTAACCAGAAAAGGTCCCCGGGCAAACTCACCACACACCTCTCACAATGGAGTGCGACCCCTCAGAGCCCCATGCAGCGGTGCAGTGGCGCGGGCGTGACATTCTCCAGTCCTGCCACGACACTCAGGAGAAGGCCCCTCTGCTGGCAGCCAACCTCCTCACCAACAGGAGGGCACTGACAAAGCTATGATGAAGCAGTGCCCAGCCCAGCACGCACGCCAGGCAGTGTGGCACGGGAGACTGCGCCTCTCAAAGCAGCAAAGAGACCAGACGATGTACCACGGGAATGCAGCATGATGTTGGGGTAACAGACAGTGGGATCCAAGGGCCAGTCCAGCAGCCTTACTGCACCCTGGTCCTGAGGACCCAGCCATGTCTGGGGGAGCAGGACTCAGCACACCATGCCCTGAGCACGGCTGCACAGACGCTCACCGGGCCCCAAGCGTGGCTGCACAGGTGAGAAGGAGGTGTTTGGGGGGACTTCCCTCATTACAGAGGCTTCTCAAGAATCGGTTGAAAGGGGCTCTCCTGCTCTAAGAACAGCCCCAATGTGGGAACAGGCAAAGGTCTCCATAGCTCTCGTTCCCAACAGAAAAACCCTGAGGAGAGAGAATGGGACTGAGAGGGCTGCAGAGAAGCTGGTGAGAGTTCCCAGCAAGACATGAGCTGGCAGTGACCAGACTCGGGGTGCATGGCCTGGGCCTGTGAGGCAGGACCCCAGGCAGACTGGTGGGAAGAGAGAAGGGGGACCCAGAGAAGAGGGATGGAGCGGGCAGGTAGCACAAGGTGGGGTTCAGGCAGGGAGGGCCTTGGGGCTGGGCATCCTGCCAGCCACCTTCCTCAGGCGGCAGGGAGGACCGCACACGGCCCAGGTGCCTCTCGGTCCCCAGCACCAGAAGCTGGGAATAATGGGGTCTTGTTAGTGTTTGCTGTCGCCCACGGCCACTACGTCAGTGGGCCTTCCAGTGAGAATGTCCGTGCAGACCGCCATCCACTCTCCTGGTGCCACCTGTCCTTCTTGTCCCGCCTGGCAAGTGCCCGCTCCACTCCTCCTACCGGTGGCAGAAGACAGAACCCTCCCACGTGACTCTCCAGACCTAACGATGTCACCTCCTGTCTCAGGAACAAAGTTCCTTTCTCTAGTTGACAAGTCCCCAGCCTGTCACAGGCTGTCCATTGCTGAGAGGGACTTGGGATGAACGGCTCACTGTGAGAGAGACCAGGCCTGCTGAAAGGGGGCCAGGCCGGCTCGGGCCACTCACGGGGACAAGACATGGCTGCCGGAACTTCTGCCCTGGAGAGGATTGGGCTGCGTGGCAGTGGCCCGTTGGGACCTGGGGTCAGGAGCTCACAGCACCAAGGAGACGGGATCACCCCCACACAGGACGTTTCAGGAAGACAGGAAACAGGACACAGCCCAACAGAACGACCAGCAACTGGGCGGACAGAGGCCCGATGGTGGGGAGTCCCCTGACCAGAGCGCGCCCGAATCTGTATGAACCCCTCCCTAAGTTCACAACCTGCTGGTACGAAGCTTGGGGCTCTAAGGCTGCCTGCCCTGCCACCTATCCTGGTGATGGTGAGGGCTGTGAGGCAAGGGAGCCCAGACAGGACACCAGGCACGACCCACAAGAAAGGGGACTTGATCCAAGTGATAAACTCTGTGCTTCAAACACAGCAGCCCCAAAGAGAACCCACAAACTGGGACAAAGGACTCAGCACACAGTTTACAGAAAACACCAGCACCTCAACATCAAAAAGAAACAATCTACTTCAAAAATGGGGAAGGATAGGAACAGACACTTCACCAAACAAGATACTCAGGCAGCCAACAAACACATGAAGAAATGTCCACGATGACACTCTGTGGAGAGAAAGAAGGGCTGTGTGTGCACAGGGAGACAGCCCCGGGGGCAGGAGGGCACGGAGGGAGGGATCCAGGGAAGAGGTAACTATCAGGAGGAAGTGGGAGGGGAGCTGTTGCATTGTGGGAAATTATACTCAATGTCATGAACATTTACCTCAGGTAGATAGACTCCTTGGAGAGAACAATCATGGGACAAAGAAGGGCTGCGTGTGCACAGGGAGACAGCTCAGGGGATAGGAGTGCACAAAGGGAGGAACCCAGGCAAGAGGGAACTATCGGGAGGAAGTGGGAGGGGAGCTGTTGCATTGTGGTAAACTGTGGTCAGTGTCATGAGACAGTGTATGTGAACTGCTGTATGGAAAGTGAATTTGCTCTGTAAATTTTCAACCAAATCACAATTAAAAAAAAAAAGTTCTTGCAAAGGAGGAAATGTTTGCAAATGTAACAAAACTTTTAAAACATTAAATTTATCAGTTAAAACAAAAGGGTGCACGATCACCAGCCATTAGAGAGACACAAATCAAAACAACCATGAGCTACCACCTCACCCCAGCACTAATGGCAAAGTTCAACAAGACAGAAAACAACAACTGCTGGTGAAGATATGGAGAGATTGGGATTCTCACACACTGCTGGTGGGACTGCCAAATGATACGACCACTGTGGAAATCGGTATGGTGATTCCTTAAAAAGCTGGACACATCCTAAAAATGTGAGAGCCAGGATGTTAGGACACATATGCACAGCCATGTTCATTGCATCACTATTCACAATAGCAAAGAGAAGGAGAAAACTTCGGTGCCCATCAACAGAAAAACAGATAACCAAACTGTGGAGCATACACACAACGGAATACCATGCAACACTGAAGAATAACAAAGAATCTGTGAATCACCTCATAACATGGATGAACTCAGAGGATATTATGCTAAGTGAAGTCAGTCAGTCACAGGAGAATAAACACTCTACGAGTGTGTCATAGAAAGTCAAGCAAAGGTTTCCACAGGGAAGGAAGTATTTCTTTGCTGGTTACCAGGGATGGGGATTAAGGAGGGAAAACAGAAGGATAATTATGAGACTGGATGTAAGTGAAGGGATTTTAAGAAAAAAGAAAGCAGATCAGCCTTAAAGACTAGTTCCCGAAGCAAGGTTATTGCACAGGGGGGTTTATCGCACTAGTCTTAGTTTCTATTTGAAATGTTTTGTAATGATAATAAATAAAACACTCAAAACAAAAAGACACAGAATGGGAGGAAAAATTTGCGTTCAGGTATCTGCCAGGGAGTCACAGCCCTAAAGGAACTCTGCCAACCCAACAGCAAAAAGAGAGCCGATTAGAAACCCAGCAAAGGACTAGGAGAGCCATTTCTTTAAAGACGACACTCAAACGCCACTAGTACCCAGAATGGAGCTCCACAGCATCAGTCAGCAAGGAAGTGCATGCCTAACCAGCAACATGGTACTACGTCACACCCACAAGGACAGCCACAGCACCACGTTGCACCCGAGGACAGCCACGGTATGCACAGTACCATGTCACGCCCACGCGGATGGCCACGGCACAGATGCGGTACCACGTCACGCCCTCGAGGACAGCCACGGCACGCAGAAGCGGTACCATGTCACACCCATGTGGACGGCCACAGCACAGATGCGGTACCACGTCACGCCCACGGCACAGATGCGGTACCACATCACGCCCACACGGACAGCCACAGCACAGATGCGGTACCACGTCACGCCCACGCGGACCGCCACGGCACAGATGCGGTACCATGTCACGCCCACGCAGACGGCCACGGCACAGATGCGGTACCATGTCACGCCCACACGGACAGCCACCACACGCAGAAGCGGTACGTCATGCCCACAAGGACAGCTGTGGCACCTGACAATGACCAATGCTGGCAACAGGTGGAGACACCGGGGGTGATATGTCGCCTGGCTTGATCTGTGGCCCTGGGCTGTGGGAAGCCTGCCCCAAGCATGCCAACCCCAGCGGGCGGCCTACCTCGGTGGCTGTGGGGACCGGGGCTTTGGCTTCTCCTTCTCCTTCTCGCGCTCCTTCTCACGGTCGCGCTCCCGGTGCAGCCGGTCCTTCTCGTCCCGCTTGGCGCGCTCCCGCTCCCACTCCTCCTTCCTGCGCTGCCGCTCCTTATCGCGCTCGCGCTCCCGCTCACGCTCTCGCTGCCGGCGCTCCCGCTCACGGTCTCGCTCACGCTCCCGCTCGCGCTCCCGCTGTCTGTTCTCACGCTCACGCTCGCGCTCCCGCTCACGCTCTCGCTGCCGGCGCTCCCGCTCACGGTCTCGCTCACGCTCCCGCTCGCGCTCCCGCTGTCTGTTCTCACGCTCACGCTCGCGCTCCCGCTCCTGGGTCAAAAAGCCAAGCACACAGACTGCTTCTTAAACCCTGGCGTGTGGAGACCAGGGGAGGAGGAGGGCAAAGTTACCACCTCAAGGGGCGACTTCATCTCAGTGCTTCCTAAAGTGTTGTGAACGAAGGGAGTCAGACCTACAGCGAGTCCAGACCAACCCACACAGGAAACCGACTGGGACGCTAGTCCTGCCCAGCCCGGCAGCCATGCCACAATCCCCACCAGCTGGGCCAGCCCTGCTGCTCTCCAGCGGCGCATCTGAGAGTGGTGTGGTCACGCCATGCGCTTAGCGCTCTGGACAGCCACGCAGCTGTAACATGGAGGAGCAGAGCCCGCGTGGGTCAGGTCTGAACGGGGGCAGCACCCCCAAAGGCAGCTCTGGGTTTCCTAGGACAGTCCCCCAACACCTGCTTCTGCTGCACCTCAGCCCCCACCGTGCCATCTGCGGTGCTTCTTGAGACAGAACTGATAGGCCCAGCACCTGGGCAACGCTCAGACTTCCCCTGCCTCTGTGGGTGTGCCACCTACGTCTCTGCCCTGAGGCGTGGCCCGCCTAGGGGGTGAGCAGAGGACAGGTAAGGTCTGCTCTGACGGAGATGGTAGCACTGCAGCCCTCCATTCTCTACCAGCTCACCCAAGTGTAACAGCTGCCCCACCCCACTCAGCCCTGCAGCACCTTTTTCCTGTCCCCTCAAAGCTCTAAATCTGGAGGCTCCCAGTCTGAGCACGTGGATCTATCAATGAAGCAGTCTGCAGAAGCACAGAGTGCTACAAGACACGCCACGACCTCCCGTCTTCCACAAGGTGCCTCCATGTGGCCTGCAGAGGCCCCACACTGCCCTGAGCAAGGTTACCCAGGAAGGGAACTAGCACAACCACACTCCTCCCCACTAAGGGGCCTGAAAACTGCGGCTCAGGAGGGAGACCACCCTCTGTGAAGCTGCTGTACCAACAACCCCACCTACAACAGCACGGCAAGGGCACAGATGAGCTCGGGGGGTCCGGGGCAAACCACCCCAACTTTAATCCACGGACCTGAATGAACCCTCCAACAACCAACTCTGGCTGGGATGAGCGGCCGGGGCTGACAGGTGTCAGCCCACAGCACGTCCTCCATGGAAAAGGGGGTGACTCAGGAGCAGACCTCCCGTCAGACCCAGGCCCGCGGACTCCAGCATACTCACTCGGTAGTTATGGTACGGCTCTGCTTCCGTGTACTGCACCCTGAAGTTCTCGTACTGGCCCCCACGCCAGAACCGCTCTATTTCATAGTCATAGTAGGGGTCAGCATAAGGCTCAAGTCTGCAAAACAGGGAGGGAAAAGTGAGTCTCATTACCTCGAAATATTAATGCAGACAAGCTACATAGAGAAGTAGCAGACAGACCCCAGACCACAAGAAGACAATGACACACCATGGCTCTAGGGGCTATGTCCCAGAGTTGCACAGCCATGGCAGGACTAGGAAATCTATTCACATACTAAAGCCAGTAACAGACCTAGAGAGAAAACAGTGCGTTTATACCCGTAGATGATGACAATGTCTGTGACAAAAACTGAACACACACTTCTGATGAAAATCCTCCAGAAGGAGAGAAGTGAAGTTTTCTGAACACGATAAAAATATAGTTACGAGGTCAGGATCAAAGCCAGCAGCTGACAGATGGGCAGGAGTGGGATAGCTGCTCCTGCTCCCACCATCCGCTGGGACAGACGCACAGACAGGGGGAGCCAAGAGAGACGCCAGGGCTGGGAAAGGGGTGACAGGCCCGTGATCCAAACATCATGTGATACAGCCCTGAAACACCACGAGCTCAGTGACGAAGTCAGACAGAAAAACTCAGTGAACGTGAACAGAGACCAGCAAGCAGCCTTCAGTGAACGTGAACAGAGACCAGCAGCCCTCGGTGAACGTGAACACACAGACCGGCAGCCCTCGGTGAACGTGAACACACAGACCGGCAGCCTTCGGAGAACGTGAACACACAGACCGGCAGCCTTCGGTGAACGTGAACACACAGAACGGCAGCCCTCGGTGAACGTGAACAGAGACCGGCAGCCTTTGGTGAACGTGAACACACAGATCGGCAGCCTTCGGTGAACGTGAACACACAGACCGGCAGCCTTCGGTGAACGGGAACAGAGACTGGCAGCCTTTGGTGAACGTGAACAGAGACTGGCAACCTTCGATGAACTATTGTAAATACACAGACCGGCAGCCTTCAGTGAACGTGAACACACAGACCGGCAGCCTTCGGTGAACATGAACAGAGACCGGCAGCCTTCAGTGAACGTGAACACACAGACCAGCAGCCTTCAGTAAACGTGAACAGAGACCAGCAGCCTTCGATGAACGTGAATAGAGACCAGCAGCCTTTGATGAACGTGAATAGAGACCAGCAGCCTTCAGTGAACGTGAAC